TGTGTGTGTGTGTGTGTGTGTGTGTGTGTGTGTGTATCATCTTTCTCCACAACTCTGCCCAGATGATAACTCCATGACAGCAGAGACCTAAGCTGCTTTGTGCACTGAATCTTTGTGTACTATCAACCTTGAGTAGCATGTAGTAGTCTTTGATATTCTTTAAATGCCTTAGCCCATATAACATTATTACTAAACCCATAAAACAATATATTCTTTTTAAATTGAGATTCAGTTTGGCACATAATAATAGTGTCAGGTGTACAACATAATGATTTGATATTTGTATATATTGCAAAATGATCACCATATTTTTGCTTAAATCTTGACTTGCTTTTCATTCTCATTTGTTACTGTTAGACTACCAGCTGTCACGTCTCTCTACTGCTAGTGCTCTGCAGACCTGATCCTAATTTACTGCTTCTGATCTGCTTTGTTTTTGCTTTCAACAAATATACTAATATTATATCTAAAGTAATATATTTAAAGTTTATTTATTTTGAAAGAGAGAGAGGCAGAGAGAGAGAATCCCAAGCAGGCTCCACACTGTCAGTGCAGAGCCCAACACAGGGCTTGATCTCACAAACTGTGAGATCATGACCTGAGCTGAGATCAAGAGTTGGTCACTTAACCAAGTGAGCCACCCAGGCAGACCTAAAATAATAATTTTTGACAACAGACCTTTGGGTAGGGACCCAAGGGGCTTAATTTGAATCAGTGCATAGACTTCTTACTATCTGTTTTGAATGATCAGAGAGGGGTCTTCTATGTTTTTCTTGTTCTGAGCTGTTTTCCAAAAAGGAACTGTGGTAGAAAAATAAGTAGTTGCCAATAACTAGGGTTAAATACATGATATGAAGGGATACTCTAGGTATAACTAATATTTAGAAGTACTGAAAATTAAGTCAGTGTTGACATCTCCACTCCAAACCTAATTATGTGTATTAAAGATACTTTCCAATGAACTCTTTGCAAATCCAGAGTGTTATGTTTTAGTTTTCAGAATAAAAGATCAGTAACAGGGTGCTTAGGTGGCTCAGTCAGTTAAGCACTCGACTCTTGATCTCAGCTCAGGTCTTGATCTCAGGGTCATGAGTTCAAGCCTCACCTTGGGCTCCCAGTGTGGAGCCTACTTTAAAAAAGAAAAAATCAAGAACAGTGACATTTACCAGGTTGCCACTTTGGGATATGGATGGAGGCAAAAGACTAGTTCTTTCCCCACTTTGGAAATTGCTTGATTTATTGGTATAACTTTTATTTCTAATGGTTGAAACTACTACCTAAAGCAGGGAAATTGTACTTTTAATTACAGCATGTCAGGGTTATAAATATTTTTATTACTATGCCAGGGGAGGAGTAGTTTGGGCAATGAGAAGTAGCAGTGAATGATTCTCATGGGTATCTGGGAACAAGTTGGGTGATGGAAATTCACTCACCCACCAAGGAAACTAGGGCTACATGCTACAGTGAGCCAGGTGAAAAAATCCTACCCTTCACTCTAAGTCACAGATACACAGTTTATTATAACCAAGTCTTTCCTCTACTCTGCTGCATCCTACTGTATTCCCCATTCATCTCCACCACCATAGACAAAAGAATTCTACTTCTGGCTGCTAAGAACTAAGAAGGTCTTTCAACCAATACCAATTAGATACTGAATTAAATTTTTCATCATGACCAAAAATGTCATTAATTTGCTAATAACACAGAATCTCCATATCCAGATTTACATAGAGATCTTTCAAAACTATGAAGTCAAAACTGTTAAGTCTTTTACCCAGGCTCACAATATGCAGCTCAAATTTCAGGAAAACAATCTATACCAAATGGAAATGATTTAATTAGAGCCAGGAGAAACTATATAGCTTGCAACCAAACCCTAATGAAAAGACTTGACTGAGCCTAGCTGGAAATTTGAGGATCATCTTTCTTCATTTGAATGATATATTCAAGACTGCCATGTTGTTTTATTCTATAGAATCTAATGGGCAAAATTATATAAAAGCAGAGTTTATTATTCTAAACTGAGATTTGCTATTTTTTTAATGTTTATTTTTTTTTCAACGTTTATTTATTTTTGGGACAGAGAGAGACAGAGCATGAACGGGGGAGGGGCAGAGAGAGAGGGAGACACAGAATCAGAAACAGGCTCCAGGCTCCGAGCCATCAGCCCAGAGCCCGACGCGGGGCTCGAACTCACGGACCGCGAGATCGTGACCTGGCTGAAGTCGGACGCCCAACCGACTGCACCACCCAGGCGCCCCTAATGTTTATTTTTAAGAAAGAGCAAAAGCAGGGGAGGAGCAGAGAGAGAGGGAGACACAGGATCCAAAGCAAGTTCCAAGCTCTGAGCTGTCAGCACAGAACTGATGTGGGGCTCGAACCTATGAACTGCAAGATCATGACCTGAGCTGAAGTTGGATGCTTAACCAACTGAGCCACCCAGGCACCCTGAGAGATTTGCTGTTTCTTACTGAAGAAAAAATAAAATATGCACATCATTCCCTTTGGGAAGTTGTAGGTTCCTGCATTTCAATTGGAATAGATTTGAAAATTTTACAAACAATGATTTTTAACTTTGATTTTTTCTGACATCCCAAAGTCAGAGAGGATATCACTGAATCGTAAAACAAAAAGAATTTTAATCCAGTCTAAAAAGCGAATTAAAGATATGCTACTTTTATGTTTTAAAGAAAACTGGAGTTATTATTTATTTTAATCAAATATTGAAATACCTAGCATCATTATTATAAAGAAATAATCCCCAGACATACCTTCTATACTCAGTTCAACCACCATTTGACTTCAAATTCTAAACATTTTATGCATTCAAAACCATATTTTCAAACACAGTGCCAGGTAGCAAGAATGCTACATTTTATATATGATTATAAATTGTAGAATAATATATGCTTGAAATAGATACTAATACCAAATATAAGAGATAAGTTCCCTTGACTTTATAAGACACCTTCTTTTTAAAAACAACACACACACATTTTTTAAAATGTTTATTTATTTTTGAGAGAGAGCATGAGTAGGGAGGGGCAGAGAGAGAGGGAGGCAGAGAATCCCAAGTAGGTTCCCCGCTGCCAGCACAGAGCCCAGTGTGGGCTCAAACTCATGAACCATGAGATCATGACCTGAGCCAAAATCAAGAGTCAGACGCTTAGCCAACTGAGCAACCCAGGCGCCCCATAAGACATCTTTTAAAATTAAAATACTGGCATACAAAACAAAAAATTCAAGAGTGATTTGAACAAAGAAACATATTCCCAGAGCATAGGAGCATAGTTCAGTGGAAAGATCAGTGTGTTGCACTGAAGACATGCAGACTTCCTGCCTCTGCAGATTGCTAGCTATGTGGTCTTCAATAGTTTTGCCCGGTCACATCCACAAAACGATGACGGGACCTTCTAAGTACTATAACTACATAATACTAAACTTTGGAAAAACATATGAAAGCCACAGGACTTAATACATACAATGATGAAAAGTTAATTTATGGGCTTTACTGAGATTAGTTTATCCTCATCTCCTTTACAAGGGATCATTTGTGAACATTAATAAGTAGTCACTTATTAGTTAATAGTGATTTTAATAATGACTTTAATAATAACATTAATAATGACTTCTGTTTCTGTCATTCAACCAATAAAGCTCTTGCTGAGGTCACCAACAATGTCGTCAATAAATTCAACAGATATGTTTAGCTTTCACCTCGCTGACCCTTTAGTCATATCTAACAGTGGTGACCACTCTCTCCTCCTTTAAGCACCTCTCTTATGGGCTTTTGTGACACTCCTCTCTCCTGGATTTTCTTCCTACCTCTCTAGCCACTTCTTCTCATTTTCCTCAACTCAGCCATTAAATGTTGGGATTTCCAAAGATATAGCCCTAGGCCTTCATTTTTCACTCCATATTCTGCTGCAGCAGTTACATCTGTGCCCAGGACTTTAATGACCACCAATATGCTGATGACTCCCACGTGTTTGTTTAGATCTCAGAAACCCTCCCCATTTTAAGGTTCTTGACCTGTGTATCCAACTGCCTATTTGGATATCTCACAGAGACACTTCACTTGCTCAAAATCAGGATCTTCTTTCCCTTAAATCTTGCCCTGTATCCAGGGATTCGATGTCAATGACTGCCACCTTCATCTATTCAGTTATATAAGCCAGGAACTCAGAACTCATCCTTGCGACTTCCTTTCTCTCTCACCCTCCATGCCCAGCCCACCACCACAATCTCTAAATAGCCTTTCAGTCTGTCTACATCTCTCCATCTTTACTGCTACCAATTTAGACCAAGCTACCATTCAGTCTCATTTAAGTTACTGTTATAGGTGTTCTTGACCCTCTAATTCATTCCCCACTTTGCAACCAGAGCAATCTTTTCAAAAGACAAATGTGATCATGTCATTCAACTCCTCCTTTATCTCCATGCTAGAACACTTAATGGCTTTCCACAGGCTTAAAATCAAGGCCACTATCCTTAATATGATTTACAAAGCCCTGATCACCTGACTCCTCCCTTTCTGTCCAGCCTCCTTTAGAACACTCTGGCTTCTGCACTTACAGAGCAGCCGTATTGACTTTCTTTCAATTCCTCGGTCACACCATGCTGTCTCTCATCAATGTGCTCTTGTTATTCCCTCTGCCAAGAACTCTGTCACCTCCCCTCCACTCCCTATTCCACTGATCCATTTCACCTATTTAACTGCAACTCATTCTTCACATCTCAGCTCACGTCTTCTTTTCTTCAACAAATCTTGACACACATTCCCATCCTCAACAACAGTAAAAGTTCCCCGTGTACCATGCACCTCCTCCTCGGTAGCACTTACTAATTGAAATTATTATTTATTTCTGTGATTATTTGGTTAATGTATATCTCTTCCCCACTAGACTATGTAAATTCCAAGGTTTTTGCTCACTGTCAGTTCTCTAGTGTCTAACACAGTAGGTTCTCAAAATTACTTGAATGAATAAATTATATGTAAATCTGTAAATAAGGCAAATATTTTTAATCCATAAAACCATTATACTTAATGCTTCTTTTATAATTATTTTAACAGGAAAAAGTAAGAGTGATGCAGGGGAAAGAAACGAGGCATCTACTCCTATTTATTTTGTCTTCTTAAGTCATTTGGTTAAAGTGTAGGCAACGTCCCTAAGTCACAATGACTTGATAGTAATAATAGTTTCCATTTCTGGAGCACCTTTCTTCCCAAGGGTTCCCAATGCTTACAAACAGATCTTGGTGTCACTCTAGAGTGACTCTGCTAAGAAACTATGCTTTTGATCAAGCCTAGTAAGTTTCTATGAGAAGCTGTCAGGTCTTCTTGCAAACACCAAGTTCCTTTTATGACCATCTCACTTTCTTAACACAACCCCAAAATATCAGGGGCAACAAAAGTAGCCATGTCTTTGCATGAAGTCTGAGAAGGACCCATTTGGAGTGGTTGTTTTTAGCTAACATTTAATGAGCACTTATTTTGTGCTAGTCCCCAGGCTAACACATTATCACTTTTAATCAAAATCCTCAGCTGGCCCCTTTCCCTCATTAACACGATCAATAAAGGAACTCTATGGGCATCCAATGGGAGCCTGCTGTGATTACTAGCTGGTTGCCAAGATAACCTGGCCACTCAGGGGATGGGGAAGGAGGTTTTCTACCTGCCCCCAAGCAGGTGAAGATTCAGCCCCCAGGGCCCTCGCCTCACTTCGCTTACCCTCCTGGCTCAGCGACCGAAGAGTACGAAGAGTACGCAGCACCGGCTTGCTCAGGTCCCGCAAGGAAGGGACGATGGTGTCCAATATGTTGGTGTTCATTTGGTTCGGGGCTGAGTCCTTAACGGGTCTCTTTTCTTTCTTCATATGAAATCTGTACAAAAGTGACTTTCCTACCCTCAAAGCCCCTCTCTTCAGAGCTTTGGATGTACCTTAAAAATAAAAACTACCAAATATCGAGCTGTGTTTTTCTAACACCTCCTTTCTGCCCTCCCTTTGAAAGGGCGGACCTACCCCGTCGGACTCCATCTTGTTCTGTGTCCTTCACCTTGACCACACCTCCTCCCCTTGAGCCACCCCCTCCCCCACCTGCCTAACAGAACTCGGACCCTTCCCCAGCCAATCGGCTGAGGCCATAGCTATTACCTCACCAACTGCCCCTAGGGGAGTTGATGCTCCCCTTGAGCAACCCCCTCCCCCACCTGCCCAACAGAACTC